GCTCATTATCTTCATCTTCATTTTTCTTCATTTAGTTACAAAATTCACGTGAAACCATTCGTATAATCGAAATACCTTTAACTGTCCAATAAATCAATATTATTTTCCAAAATTTTTCTATTTTCTATAAATTCAACAATTTATCGAATTTATTCGATTCCAACTTTTTAATTAAATAAATTTCAATTTAATGTTCAGTTTAATTTCAGTTAAATTTCTTTTCCAGTTTAATTCGATTCAAATAATGAACAACAAACGAACATCATACATTATATACCAACTATTTACCAACATCCCTAAAAATCACTTTCTCCTCCACTTTCCTACTACCCCTTTCTCTCCAACTCTGAAATTGAAATTCACGCGTGAAGAATCTCGATCGAAAATTCTCCGATTCAGGGAGAGGAGCAACCTCGATGCAAATGGCGGAACCCAGGTGCACAAAGGTTCCCGTTCCATCCGATCGGCAACGAGCCGATGGGACTCGTGCAAGCGTCCCTTGCTGCTGGTCGTTCGCACTTTAACAGAGGCCGAGGCGCCACGGTATTAACGTGGAAAGTCCAGGTGTGCAGGTATGCGTCAGAGGTTGGCCTACATGTCGAGGTCGGGCCGCTCATTATAGCAACCCTTGTGTCGCCGTGTGCGCTCGCTGCCCCCTCCCCGCCTATATCATTTCGCCGCGGCAAAGTACAATGTACACATTTCCAAGCGCGGGCTCGTTCCACTTTCGCCGGGTCTCGGCCAAATATCCACGCGAAACACGTACGTGAAAATGTGTTGGAACACGTCTTTGCCTCGTCGAATTGCTAACGAAGACGCGTTTTTTTTTTTTTTCTTGGTCCTGGCCACTTTTCCATCTGCTCTTTCGCTCTTCTTTCGTTGATTCGTGCAGAATACGATCCTGTGCGTATTTCGAGATCCGTTAAATTAACAGGTATGGAATATTTCGAAATTTTTAAGTCTGATGGATATTAGATACGGGTATTTGGAGTTTTTTTTAATTTAGAAACGTGGAATGTTTCGAAATTGATCGATAGATTCTTGTAACGTTCCTTCCAATATTTGGAAATTTTTTTTTTTTTAGTTTTGAATTAGTATCCAGGGAATACTTGGAAATCAGTGTTGTAAAAATTCTTCAACTTAGATTTCTCGAATTAATTAATTAATATCGAAGGGTGGAATTGTTCGAAATAAATTTACGAGCGAGTATATATCTATATCAAAAATTCTTTTTATAATAAGAATATATACGACTAAAATTTTAAATTATAAAATATTCAAAATTATTTCTCGTGAAAAATATTCCCGAATAAAATATTATAATAACTCTAAAATCGAAACATATACGTACAAATAACGAAATCAATTATCTCATAACAATCAATTATACATTTTTCTTTGCAATATTTAGTAGGGAACGGATATATTTCTATACCATATTTGGCCAATACACTTGGCATTCACTCTATATACATACAATATATTATAAACAACAATGAGGAATAACGATAGAAATATTTGGACGGGAAATGGATGCACGATGAAATTACCTTGATAAATAACGCCCGATATTTTATTCATGCGTTATTCGCGAAAAATGACGAGGAAAATTGTAGACGTCGAACCACCATTCTCCAACCATTCCATTCCCCCCTGGCCGCTCCCCGTATCTATGAAAATTCAATCTCTTCGCGGGGAAAGGTGTGTGGTGGTGGAGGGCGCGTCACGTTTTTCTCGACACGCGGGACACGTAAGGTAATGGCAAGCCGCGATCGCGACGATCACGCAACACCCTCGCCGCGGATTTACCTCTTCACGGCCGGAATTCGCCTCGAGAGAGCGAATATAGCCGCGCTTTTGTTTCGCCGGCGGACCGCGGAAATCTCGTGACAGGAGGCTGGCTTCGTTCGACGATCGATTTTCAAGGGGGGGATGAGGGGAATAGGGGGGATGGGGCTGCGGCGAAACAACGAAACCGCCGATTCCCATGTTCTCGTTACCCGCGTGCGTGGAATTTCATTGTGGAGACGTTGGCTGAATTCGTTCCGCCCTCCTTGATTAACGGGTGTAGATGAAAAGTATTCTTCGGTTTTATTTCTAGCCTAGTTGCAACTTTTTCGAATTTGCAAAATTCGAAGATTGAAAATTCGGATTGGTATATTGGTACCAGAGAATAGAGAAATGAGTATTATACGAAGGAGTATAATAGGAGACATTTATGGTTTCAAGTTTGTAGGAAATTGTAAAAGCGAATTCGTTCTGTTCTGGTGTTAGATAAAGAATTCTTTAATTTTATTTTAATGATAAAAATATCCTTAAAAGTCTTGCTTTTTAAAATTTTTTTTAAATTTTTACTTATTAATTTAATTTTGAATTAATAAATTTAAGAAATATTGAAAACGATTTATTTATGGTTACAAGTTAGAAATAATTGTAAAAGTTTTCCATCATTTGTTGCAACACAATATGTAATGATTAATGATATCTTGTTGGTTCGAACAATATTGAGAGAATATTTTAGTTTGGATGATAAAGTATTTTTTAAAAACAGACTTTCCGATGCTCGAGAAATAAATATCTTAAATTTATAAACTGTTCTTTTTTGTTTTGCTCGAAACTTGAGTAACTTGTTTTGTTTCGAGTACAACTGTACAAAAACAGTGGATTATCTTATCGTTTCTTCTCTCCTTGGTTACAGAAGATTTTCAACGTATCCTCCTCGATATTTTATATACTGTGCTATATCTCTTAAGACGAGTGCTCTTTTTAAAAATTAATCGAAATATAAGATTGTTTGTAATTTTAAAAATATTATTTTTTCGATTAATTTTTATTAGAATTATTTTTTTAAAGCTTATCCTCTTACTTTGTATAAATAAGTTGAATGCTTGAAAATTTATATATCAGATTTCTTTTTACTTAAATCTTTCTTTTTTTTCCGATTTTTTTTCTACTTAAGAAACGTATCGCCTCGTTTAACGCTGTAATTTTGAAGGAACTGGATCAACAAACGAATCACACCTCCGATGCATCAGCAGAGGGTGAAATGAAAAATAGGGATTCAGAGTTAGGGAGCTTCATAGTCGAGTTGCTCCGCGAGAAAGCTCAGCAAAGCTGCAAGCTAAAGTTCAACGTTTCCTCTCCTCCTTTTATTATTTTCCTTTTTAGCGCGTTATAGGGGTTGAAAAAGGGCTATAATTAAAGACGATCGATATAACCAGTGTGTATGAATATATCCCAGTCATTGTGTAAAAGTTATTTTAATTCCATGGAGAATCCATATTATATTTAACAAATTAATCGGATTTTTTAAATGAAAAGTATAAAAATAACACATTTGTGTAAAGAATTACTTAAATATATATATATAAACGAAATTTAATTTTCTCGCAATATTTAAACTGAAAATTTCGCTAATTGTACCTTTCCTCTAAGCCTCTTAATTTTTTCACTCTCATTGTTGCGATTGCGTAAATAATACTTCAATAATATTTCAACTAATTATTAAATAATTAAATAATAATAAATATATTTCTTTTCAGGTGTTAAATTTTTGTCACAATTAATTGATGAAACAAACTCTTAAAAATATTTATTTTTCGAAGCATTAATAATTAATGCCATCTCAGTTTCGTGCTTAACACACCAAATTCTATTAAATTACATTAATCACATCCCTACTTATCTCTTTCATAATTTTCATTCAATTTCACACTCATTCTGTCGACGTAAGAAATAATTACGAAACGAGCACACACGATTAAGTAAGTAAAAATTATTAAATATTCAGATCAGACGATGGAAAAACGAATTTTCTTTTTCTTGGAAATATTGGAATTATAAGTATTTCCTTCTTCGACTCGACAATCGTTATATACACAGTGTAACGCTAAAAGGCCAATATGGATTGGAAAACAATCGAAGTGGTGGTAATTTATTAGCGTAGCTTGGGCAGCGAAAGCCACGTGGTCGCCATAAATACGATGTAAACACCATCAGGGGAGTACACGAAATCATTAAAGCTTTATCGTTACCAATTTGCGGTATACGTTCGGAAAGGATGAACTCGATTTGCATGGTGCAGCTGGGGGCTGGTTACCATCTGGAAAAGTTGGGCTTCGTTGAACGAGTGAAACTACGAGCGGCGATAACGCGAAAATTCTTTGTCAAAATATGATTAGGGCTGACGAAAATAATCCGGAAATTATAATTCGATGAAATCTACTTAAATATTTTTCATATCACGTGTGTTTTTGTATATTTCGTATAAATGATATAAATGCAAATTATAGGTGTCAAAAAATTGGAAGAGTGATTTTTGATATTTAAAAATTAATTGGAATGTCCATCATATCGTCATACACATCTCATCACACACGTTTAAAAAATTCGATTAAACTTCATCAAAATTGGAAAAGAAACTATTACTATTCGAAGATAATTGGTGAACGAATAAACAATTATTAGAAGCGTGAAACCTTGCTCTTTCAAACGTTTCTTCATCCCTATACAACTTCCGGTTCCCGAGAAAAAGGTGATTTTCGATCTTAAACGCGATTAGAATTAAGAAAACTTTGAATCGCTGTAATTCTAAAGATAGTAACTTTCGATCAACCAATGAAAGACGGTTAGAAACCTTCGTTTCAAAGAAACGAACTTCGATTTATCCCAATTCAACTTTCGATTTCCGAGATATCGTTTAAAGAAAAGGATGATTTTTTTTTTATCTTCGTCTTTACATTCGTCTCAAATTCTTCTTACTCTTTTTACTGACCATTATTCCAAATTTTTTCAGACAAACAAAGACGAGATTCTCGAAGAAATAGCATTCATTTTTCAAGGAAAATACGTGAGATCTCTGCACCGTCTTGAACACTATGCACGCTTTGAACCCTCATATCTCTCAAATCGCTTGAGATATAAAAGAGATTCGAAGGTATCCCGTTTATATTTATATTTATGATAATTATGTAGATAAGGGAAGGAAATGACGTTGGTCGGCCCTGGATAGCTCAATGGTAAGAGCAGTCGCCTGCCAAGCGAAAGATCCGGGTTCGATTCCCGGTCCAGGTAAAATCTCATCAGCCGACTGTTTTTCATCCTTCAAGTACACTGTTTTATTCTTTCTGACACAAAATTTTTAATTTCTTTTTACACGAAAATTCCAAGTTTCGTTCGTGAAAATCTCCCTGGATATATGTAAAATATATAGATATTTGCAGAAACTGAAAAATCGCATCAACATTATAATATATCAAACATCATAGAAAAGAAGACTGATTAAAAGCTTTTCCTTGCCAACGATTAAAAAAAAATATTTAAAAAAAATTATCCTTCATCGGGGTCAACAAATACAGATCTGAACGGAGATTCGAAAGTCACGAAAGCGCAACGGGTTAAGGCTAAAATTAATATCCATCATCTTGTTGCACGATGTCATTTTGACATGAATCTCGATCGAAGGTTAAAACTGGGAAACGTTTTGAATAAGCTATGATTGACATTATCCGGAACGCGTTTTTCAACGCGAGCGAGATAATATCCGTGGATCTAAAATAAACGCTTGACCCAAATCCCAGCTGATTACCAAATAATTATATCATCGACCAACAAATTCAAGCTCGCGCACTTGAAAAAGTTCCGTTTCGTTCCAATCTCTTTCGAAAAAAAAAAAAAAAAANAAAAAAAAAAAAAAAAAAGAAGAAGAAGAAGAAGAGAAGAGAATCTCGTGGAGCACTCGCCTACTTTACCCTCGTTACGCTTTAATACCACGTACAATTTCGCCCACCGTTTCGAAACACCGAAAACAGCTTAGCCTAGATCGTGATCAGACATCTCCTACCTCGATGGAGTGGAAGGTAGCAGGGAGCCGATCGATCGTCTTTCGCCAGAGCAAACGATATCGTTCCCTTCGTCAACAGTTAGGAACGAAACAGATGCCTATAAAGTCTCTTGACCTGTTAATTTTAACGAGAGAGCATCAACCAGGGAAACAGAGCCGGTCAAACTTCTCTCGAGAACTTTTTCTCTCGATGATACAATCCTCGTGATACGAATTCTGTAAATTAATTTAATCGAAACAAACGTGTAAAATGCGTGCAATGCATTATAAATAATTCCCATTCGGAGGTCATTATTTCTTTTTTAAAAATAAAAGTGGAAAATTTCACGTCGGGAAAGGAAAGACGGCGATACGGGGAAGAGTTTCATTTAACGAAACATAGATTACCACAAGGACAAGTTTATAAAATAATAAAAACGTAAAAGGGTACGTATCGATTTTTCATTGCACGCAAAAGATAAATGTATCATACAGGTAATCGTAATCGAGCATCGACTACCTTCGAGGCAGTACACGCACGCGTGTAAGTACCTCGAAACTTTCCAATGAAATGAATAAATAAAAATTCGAAATATAATAATAAAAAAAAAAAAAATTCTCGAAAAATAAATCAGAATCGTTTACAAACTCTTGTTGCAGGGTGTCGTCTCGTAAATTTTCGAGCTGGTTTTGATAAACGATGGAGTTCGGGCCGCTCGAATTAATTTCGAACGTTAAAGCGTTTGGCGTGGGTTGGAGAGAGAGAGAGAGCCATCGAGACCATCGTCTTTTTCCCTCCGACAACTTTTCCCCGTTGTATACCGCGTTATTCGATCCGCTCGAAGGGAAATGGAGGATGGAAAACGAGAATGGACGCGAACGTGAGAATTAATTTTGTCGTGGACACGAAGCGTGAATTTGCCAGAACATTAGCTCTTAATGCAACCACAGAATCCAATCGCATTTTCCTCCGACAAAGGCACGGACTTTTTGTCGTGTTTGTCTCCGAGACACGATCGGATTTCACGCGATAAAAATAGTACTCGGGACGACGTCAAACGAACAACCGAGAATTCTATCTTAAACGAATAAAGGAAATTGACGAAAGTTGCAAGAGACATTCTATTTGTATATATTATTGTATCGCATTTTACCCCTTTTTTACCCCTGGTAAAAAAGTTTTTGAGAATTGTAAAATTATTGATGTGAATATAGAAGTAACGTAAGTTGGTTTCGGTATAAAGTAACTGTAGGAGTAAGAAATAATTAAAATTCTTTTTTAATTCAGAGAGAACAACGAGAGAACAAAACTTTGGTTGGTACATGCAAAACTTGGTTGTTAATAATTTTGATACACGTAAACAGTACCACATAGGAAATACTTTTTACAATTTCATTTTTGTTATATTTTTTCGTAAGAAAAATTTAAATTATTTCTTTTTCTACTTCATATCTCACATTTTATAATACAATCTTTATAATTTAAAAAATTGTTAAAATATAAATTATATTTCGTTTAATCAAAACTCCTTTTTTTGCCAAGGGTTAATATTCGTCGATAATTTCCGAAATATCGACGAAAAGTTTCGATGCTTCGATCACGTCTTCATCCTTCATCGTGTACGTTCGTGTGACGTGTTTCTTGAGCAAGGGCGATCTACTAGCCGGTATTTGTAGTGGTGAACCGGTTCACAAAGTTGCAACACGAAAACTGATCCTAGCTTCCGGAAAGCGTGTCTGAACCCTGGGCTCGGGACAACTCGAAACGTGACTCGTTATCCGTAACAGGGATCGAGCAGAAGAGGGCGTCTTTTAAGGAACCCGCGTGAAAATTAGTGGGCGGAACGAAACCTTCTGGAATCACCAACACATCGCAATCTCCATTTTCTTTTATTCGAAGAATATCCGGTGATTCCCTTTCAGGTGGAAAGATAAGGAAACGTTTCGAATTTGTGGTATTTGTCGATACGTGGAAATGTAACAATAACGACATCTGTTAGGTACGGGTAAGTTTTGAGGTTAGGTTTATTACAATTTATTATAGTTTACGCGCGTGTTCAATTTTTCGAAAAAAATCAAAGAATCATTTGGAATATATTTGTTGGAATATAAAAATATCAAATTCGCGACATTTGTTATAAGTTTTTAGGTTAGATTTACGATATAAACGATGTTTTATTCTCTGTTTTTGAGGTTAAGTTCCCGATACGAGTCTTTTAATTCGTTTATTTCGAGAAATTCATAACTTTAAATATTAAAACGAAGAACTGTGGTTGCATTAAGATATTATATATAATTATATTATAAACTCACGTGATATTATTTTCTTCTTCAAGTAAAAAAACACATATATCGAAATATCTGAAATAAAAATTTTAACATTCCCCGTCTGCACATGACTCAAACGAGTTCTTAGATAAATGTAATTTTTGAATTTTAAATATAATTGAAACTACTTATTATTTATCTTACGAGATTATTCGAATGAAAGTATAAAAATTATGGACGTCGCTGATTTTTTTATAAATATACAATAACGCAGAAATTGGCCAACAGGAAATACACTTTTTTCCCCTTCTAAGCCGTTTCACAAAACATCCTATGTAGATCGTGGGATCATCGAGGATCACGAAACCGCGATACTTTTCAATTACCGTTAATGAAATGAACCGAGGCCCCTTCGAACCACTTATTTCCAGCCCGTTTCGACTCGATTCTGAAGGGTTCTATGGAACTCATTACGTTCGGGTTCGTTGAAACTCGTACGATTTTCACGATGGGGGAAGAGGCGTTTCGCGGACCCGTTAATGGCGAAATTAAAGTTGCTTGGAACGATATTGGTCAGAATTCTCGTTATTCCTGTCGCGTATAAATGAAATATCTTCGACGATATTTCTTTTTTCACATCCCGTTACGTCTGGAAGAATTTTTGTAACCCGACAGTGAATTCGTTTGAAGCGACAAAAGAGGCATTTTCAATACAAGTTGAACACGTGGATAAGAACGCCACTTGAAAAGTCACGAAGTTGATGTCGAAACGTCGAAGTGACGGGTCTTCATTCTTATGATTTTTAAAGCGTGGAATGAATTCGTATCGCAACTGTTTTTAAAACCGCACATCACACTTTGGCGAGAAATATGTCGTGGAAAACCGGGAAGAAGCTGATTCATTACGTAACGTTTCGTACGTTAAACAAAGTGACACTAGTATTATGCAGAGTCGGAAGGAAATCCCTTGAGGCGAGGCAAGAATAAGAGAAATATTCTTCCTCCCTCAACGCGATATCGTACAATCTTATTTCTAGACGGGACATCTTCAGTCATTATGCATGGCCAATTTTTATGATTCTCTGCTGAATCAAATCGAAATTTCCTTTCAAAAAATTTCCTTTCCTTTCTCAATTTTGCACGTTATTGTATCGAGTATTCAGAGTATTCAACTTACGGAGAATTTTCTCGATGAAAGTTCTTTTTTTTTACACAAAAAAAAAAAAATTCGATACGATTCCAGACAAATTTCACCGACTATAAATATTTTCTTCCAATGATTTTATCCATTAATCGAAAAATAAAAAAAAAAAATAAAAAAAAAGGGGGAGGCAATATATTCATCATCAAAGAGCAGAGAACGAAAGTCAAAATACCTACTGTATTTACGATCACGAGGTCCATCTATTTTTCTCCACTTCACCCCTGCCCGCCCCCTCATTCGCAACACGAACAATTTCTCTTCCTCCGTGTTTCCGTGCATTTTATTTTATTCCACGGTTCCCCCGTCCTCCCGAAAATCGGTTTTCCGGCCACTCACTTTTCCATAAAACCGAAAGCGTGTTGCATCCCCAGATTTTCATCCCCCGTGGGGAGATCGCGCGGCCATTTTGATCGCGCCAATTGTCTAAATCCTCGCGCATTGTTTGCGAAGCTTTGTACCGTCCCGCGGAAGCTCCCATCCCCCTTTCACCCCTTATCGAACGCCTTCCACCCCCATCGCTCACAGCCCCCCTCTTTCCCCCCCCCGCGAATTCGAGTCCTCGCGTTGTCTCACGACGTGTTTTTTTCGAAACGCGTGATGAAGAGGAGGAAAACAAGGGGGTGGATCGGTGATCAACTGGGAATTGAAACGAGTTGGACGAAATGAAACGATACGACGAAGGGTTGGACATGGTTACATTGAGAATGATTTTGCAGTAAAATTTATCCCTTGTTACGTTTGTCGTTTTTGAGAACATATTTAATATTATCGGGCAAGCTT